TCTTTCCCTCCTTTATTTAAGTGGGAGGATATCAAGAAACCTGGAAGGAAGAATAGGAAACCTACCATTTTTTTTACAGAAGCTGGAGGTATTCAACTTGCCTCCTCTTGTCGACTGAATTTAGTTGGAAAATTTTTGTATGGTCATCCAAAAATGGAGCTGTTTCGTAAATAATTAATTGTATGGTCATCCAAAAATGGAGCTGATTCGTAAGTAATTAACTTATGCACCTGCTGTTAGATGGAAGACACATTCTCATACAAATTAATAATGAAGAGTATTACAAGCGTTTATTTGCTAGAAGGATAATTTGGATTGATAACAAAGCAATGAAGATTCTCAAATGGTCTATAACGCGTTTATTTGCTAGAAGGATAATTTGGATTGATGACAGAGCAATGAAGATTCTCAAATGGCCTATAGATTTTTGACCCTCAGACGAAACCTCTGATCATTCCGGTTTGGATTCACCTCTCTGGTCTGAAATTTCATTATTCTGAATTTTCATTATTTTACTCAAAAAATTTTGTACGCTATTGTCTCAGTTTATGGTAAGTCACTCAAAAAGGACATTCCTACTTTTAATATTTCACGTCCATCAGAAGCCAGAATACTTGTTGAAAGAAACATCACTTTATCTGCTTCTGAGGAAATTTGGTTGGGTACACAGCATCATGGGTATTGGCAAAAGGTAGTGATTGAGCATTTTCCTTCGTATTGTTCAAATTGTCTTATGTTCGGTCACTCCAGTTCTCAATGCCACCATCTACATCCACACCTCAGACCAAAAAAGCACAGTGCTCTGCCAGAGACAGTGATTTCAATTCCTCCTGATCAGCTCCAAGTTATTGATACTATTGATCATAAAAAAAGATACCCCTGAAGATACCAATATTCTCGCAGGCAATATGATAATCATTCAGTCCCCAAACAATGTTATAGCTCTCCCGCCTTTGGAACCTACTATCGTGGGGGATAGGGAGATTCTTCAAACCCCACCTGACTTAGAACCTATCCACAATATTACAGGTGACAATACTTCTACTGTTTCACTACCGCCTCATCAGGTCGAGCAAGCTGTAACTATCACTCAGGATCATGGGGATCATGTGCAACAGCCTACACCTGTCCAACCAACTTTGGAACAATCTATTGATCAAATGAGTCAATCATCGGATGAGGAATGACAGGTCTACACATCGAGGAGGAAGAAGAAGAATGGAGAGCTACTTGAGCTCAGGAATCTGATGGATGATACTTTGATTACTTCGGGCAATGACACTCACCTTACTAATTTGTTAGCAGACTCAATTCCAAGAACTAGAGGTAGAGGAAAGTGGGACGTCCTTAGCACTTTTGCGCCCTTTGGTGGTTTTTTGATTTTTTATCTTTATGTATTTTTGTTTTATTTGGGTTTTGTGTGTTTTGTTTTGTGTGAGGTGAGATTTTAAGCTCTCTCATACAACCTTTTTGTATCTATTCTGTTTTTAATAAATTAGTCCCTGAGCTTTTTTCTATATATATATATATATTAAAAAAGGGAACACCACACTATCAAACTATATATTCTCTTAATATAATTATCATTGATTAACTATGGGATAATATATATTAAAATTAAGATTATTACCATCATCAAAAGTATAATTAACATAAAATAGGTTTAAAACAAGTATATAAGTACGTGAAAATTGTGAGAATTGTAGCTTGCATTATTACTTAATTGACACAACTACTTTAAATAAATTTATTTAAGATATATTTTTTTTTGAATCATCAATGAAAAATATCATAATAGTCTTTTGGCAATTTGTAAGATGACATTTTAATCCAAGATTATAAAAAGTTCTAAATGAGCCCTTACACTCCTAAAAAAGGAGCCAAAATGGTCCCATAGAAAGTAACAAAAATTGCATTTAAAGTTCAAAGTTAGTGTTAAAAATTAGGATAATTTAAGAATTTACATTATAAACTTTTACCAAATCTAATTTTCTACTATCATTCTTTGGGATGTAAACTATTGGTAAAATTTTCGGTATTACTTCATTTGTAAATGCTCTATGATGAAATTATTACCCATTAATTTTATAAATTATAATAATACAAAATATTCCAAAATTATAAGAAAATTCAGTTATTAAATTTTGTAAAAAACTTCAATAAGTAAATTCAAAAAATATTTTCATTTTAACACAATATTTTAACTTTAACTTCAATTTCTATTGCTTTTATTGATGGGACCATTTTAGCTCATATTTTAATAAATCCAGGGGCTAAATTTTTTATGATGTTTTGGAGTAAAATTGTCTCTCGCAAATAGTCGAGAAATCATTTTCATTATTTTCTCAAAATTAAAATCAAGTTAAATTAAAATATTTTTTGCATTTAAATTGTTCTATTTAAAAATATATACAAACATAAGAAAATCAAACATGAATAAAAATAAAATCACTGTCAAAACCGATGAAACTATTGTAACTAAAGTCTTATCAGCTACAGTCCTAGAAGGGAAAGGAGAGATGCAAACGACTGTCCTAAACAAGCACACACATGAACTACCATCAAACACTACAAAAGCAACGTATATAGACCTAGGTAAGCGGTCCCACCCTATTAAGCAGCACTCCAATGGAGCCAAGAGGATCGACCAACCCTCATTATATCTAGATCGAACCGGTCCAGAGCGCTAGGCGCGATCCCATGCCCAACAGACATTCGCGTCAATAAGGAGAGGAAAACTAAACAATTGGAAAGTACTCAAAAGGGAAACTAGGGTGGCAACAATTGTTTTGTAAAAAAACGAGCAAGAGGGCGGTCGATGACTGTAGAGAGACACGAGCATCAAGGATGATCTCCCACCTATTCTCAATCAAGTGACAGCCACACTGCCTAAAAGAGAATGGAATACAACACTCCAAAATGAGAAAAAAAATTAGAGATGAAAGACTCCAATAACATAAAGCAAGCCAAAAAA